ATTTTGTTGTTGCTACCAGTTTATGACCGGGCAACTCTTGGTCAGAGATAGTTATTGTTGTGGGACACCTGGAACACATCCTTCTCGGGTGTAGATGACCCCGAGCCATAAGCGACAACAAATGTGATTCAGTGTCCTCAGCTATTTAGTCTATCTATTGAAGAATGTTGATTATTACACACTGAACTAGTTAAAACCTCAAGCTACAGGAGGGTTCTTCAGAATTGGTTTGGCATCTCTACTCTGTGGTCAACCCGTGGCTCATGACATGTCTTGTGAATTCTCCGGCCGAAGCTCCAAATAAACTGTCAGTGTTTGCCATCAAAGCTCCAGCTCTCCTCGTGTCTCTCTGAGTCCTGTTTCCAATTGCTTCAGACATTTCCCCCCCACACAACAATGTGTCATAAGACTGGACCGATATTTACAGATTAACATTGTGAGCATTATTCCATTACTTGGATGTCACTGGCAACAACTCCATCGAATGAAAAGCCCAAGTAGAAGGTAACTTGTTCATTTCCATTTGGCAAGGAAGCAGAATGTCGAGGATGGACCCTGATTTTGCTGTCTCTGGTTCCACCTTTCACAAACAAGCTTCCATTTTCTGTCCATCCTTCAACACGTTGGAGTAGCTTCATAACTTCCTCGTTTTTCCATACTTCTCCTCCAAGCCATTTCAGGTTTCGTTCACTTAGAGTGCCTTTGACCAGTGCTTCGATAGCCGTTTTGTGTACAAACTTGTTAAGACCTTTTGGTTTTGCCAGAAAGAAGTGGGTCAACAGTTTCCTCCGACGAGTATTAAGGCTTTTTTGCTCAAAGAGTCTCTGCAGTGCATTAATGGCTGATAAAAGGAGCTGAGCATCAGCAGAACTGAGTTCATTGCCAGATTCAGGCCAAAACAGAAGGGAGAGAAGGAAGAGGGCACTTGCACTTGACATGTTTTTCCCCTTGGTAATAAATCTCTTGCTGAGATTTTGAAGTCTGTCAAGGGACAGGAGCTTTGAGGACCCAGGTAGAGTACAGTTAAGAGCTATCTGGCAAACAATATAGTTTGCAAGTTCTGTTGGTTCCAAGCTATTACTTCTCAGGTTTTCTGGGTACATTTCAATAATTGTCTCGAGTTTTTTTCCTGCCCTCCGTGGGTCCTTGTCAAAAAGCAATGAGAGGATGGATGTAAAATTCCCTCCACCAAGTTTGTAGGTCCTAATCTGTCTTTGGAATGGAGAAAGCCCTTCAGCCTGACTGGGAATGTCAGTACTGTCGCTTTCGTCTTCTTGGTCACTCTCATCTGCTAAAATGCAAAAGAATTCAGCATAAACAGCACTCTTCCTTCTCAGCCATTTTTTTGGACTGTACACTTGTTCTGGATCCCTCGCATCAAGTTCTTCATCCTCTTCGCTAATGTCGGGTTGAAAGTAGCTGAAGGTCTTCTGAAATGCACTCAAGTGCATTGCATAAGCTCTTTTGTAATCCTTTCAACTGAGGATGAAACCCCTGCCAGGGTCTTTTTACATCTTCTGGTATGTAGTCTGTTTCTGTTAAGTACTGCAGCAACTCTGATTTTCCAGTATTGTTTGAAAAAACATTGACTTCTGACAGGAATTTTAGCAGCCTGCAGCCAACATCTACTTCCCCGTAGTACGAACGGTTGACAGCCTCTTTCGTTAATGATTTCTCGGAGGCCCGGAAGGCAGAGATTCCTTTGAGGGCAGTGCTTATGATTTGAATGTCGCTTTCAGGGGATGGTGTCCTAGTGTCAAACAAGTGGTAAAACCACTTCTTGTAAACTTGTCCTAAAGTATCAAGGACAAATGGATCAAGTGGAAGAAGAGATTTGCTTCCTCTGCCCATTCAAGGGCCTCTTCAAATCTGAATTTTGTGTAAAGCAGCCGGGCAAGCTGTTGTGCAAACATATGGATCTTTACCCAAAGCGAGGTAAGCAGCTTTCATGAGATCAACAGCTTTCTGTACACCATCTTTTTCGGTGCTGATATGCTCAATAAGGGGTGAAAAAGCTGTGTCTACAGAATCACCTCTGCTCTTTTTACTGCGTTTGATGAAAAGATCTCTGATGAACTTCAGCAACTCGTCTCTGGCAAACCTATGATTGATAAGTACTTTGTCAGTGATGAGATCCATGGCAATATCACTCTGAGGAAAAATTGCAGACAGCTGAGTCAGAATTGCCTCCGCCAACTTTGGATGAATAATCCTTATTGATGAGATGTGTGTTGACGATTCATTAAGGTGGATGAAAATAATCCGAGCTTCATCACTGAGCTGATCCACGAAGGCATGGTACTGAGCTCTCTCAACATGGGTAGCTATGCCAAGAGATGCCTCGCAGTGTGATACAGACAGGTAAGAGTCTTCAACATAGTAGTTCAAGAGAGCCACAAATCTGATGAGGCGAGTGGTGAGTGATGAATGATCAACTTTAAGTAAAAGGTTTTTCACAAAATCTTCAATGTAACTTTTCTTGAACCCTTCGTTCCACAGCACAAATGTGAGGATGAAGTTTGGTTCAAAGTCCAGCTTGAGTTGCTCAAGTTTTTTTGAGAACAAAGGCTTCTCTTCATTTGTAAGCTGATGTCTGACTGCCACTGTTTGTGATGATGATTCTCTGCACATTCTTTCTGGTTTGTTTGACCTGTTGCAAATAAGGAGGATAAAGCACAACACTGAAGGATTTCTTTTTTGGGTTGCAACGACATTTCCAAGTTCCCGCCTGAGATCATGTATGTAATCTGCATTGCGGTCCTCCAAGAGCAAGAGCACTGGCAAACAGTTGTCTTTGTCTCTCTCGTCATGTTCTCTCAGTCTCACTGCATGTTCACACACAGTTGTGATGTCCTTACTCTGTTTAACCACTGCACATCGCACTTTCTTTCTCCAACTCCAGAGGATCTGTCTTGCCACTGTACTTCCACCACTGCCAGGTTGATGATATATGTTCACACTCTCAATGGGACGTATGGCCTTGGGACGCTGTTTAATCCTGTCCAGTATTGTGCTTGTTTCACTATAGGCATCCCTCTTTATGATATTTCCACACTTTTGTTTGTCAGACAGCCAGAAATTGATCCACTTTATCTTTCCACCATGATAGAAGTTTCTCTCAATTTGTTGGATTTCTTCCTCACTCATGATATCCACATTTGTATCATCACACTGATCAACACTGATGATTTCCAAAGAATCTAACATAGCCTCTTCAACTGACTTTAAGAAGCAAAGTGCTCCGTTAAAGACAGGTAATGTCCTGGTGGGTTGATTCTTTGAGAGCTGAATGCTTTGAACTGTGGCGTCCACATGACTCAGTGGCATTTCAACAATGCTGATTTCTTTGAGTGAAGACATGTCACAAGACACCTGGGCAAGACTTGCCCAGTTTTCGTAGTTTTCCTTTGACTCAGATATTACTGCCAAAAAATCATTTCCATTCATCTCTGCAAAGAATTCATGGAAAGTCTCAACAAGTGGCTGCTCAATATCCGACATGAGCAGGAAGAGGACTACAAATGACTGCCTGGGAAGGATGTCATTGCAGATGAGAGATACTGCCTTTTTCAGTTTCTTCTTTCTTGTTTTGATCCACGTCTTTTCATCACAGGTTTTCTCTCCTCCGGGAAAGTTTTTTCTTCCATTGCAGAAAATCCAGCTTGTTCTCTCAAAAAGCTGCAACGAAACAACAAAGTCGGAAGGTTTTAATCGATCATTATTTGCGTAGTTTATCAAGAAAGTGAAGGTTTACAGCCTTCTGCTCCTTGTATCTTCCACAAAGACCAGATTTCTTTGAATCAGGGTCAAAATCAAACACACAGAAGATATTCATGTGTAGCAAGAAGCTCATGTGGCTGAGATGCTCGGTGTGAAATTTGTTGGTCACTATGATGTAGAACATGGAGTCGTCCATATGAGTTTTCCCACATGTTAAGAGGATGGAGAGTTTCCTCTCTTGATCTTCTTCACATTCAACAGTTGTTTGATTGCTTGAAGATTCTGCCTCTTCTCTCTGTTGGTCTTTCTCCTTGAGGTCTTTGAATGAAAAGAACAAGGTCATCATCTGGTATGCGTGGTGTGTTAGCTCCGACTCTCTGATAAGGAACTATCTCTTCAAGTTTGATTTTTTTGTCCTTCTCAGAGAATTTTGGGAGACCAACAGAGAAAAGCTTGTCTTTCACAATGCTTGCCTTTGGAACAACATCATACTCAATGACCCATGTTTTCTCACTAGTTTCCTTGTCAAGGACCTCAATGAACCGGGGGTTCCTTATGCAACTCCTGGTGTCGCATTGTTGATTTGACCCTCTAAAGCATCTTTCAATGTAGTCTAGTGCATCAACAAAATCCTCTTGACTCTCGAACAGGAACCCCAATGATTTCAACCATGCTGATGTTTACCTCTTATTTTATCCATAATCCCAAAATGAATGGTCCCATTGCTTCGCATATTCATGCACGCACATGCAAATCTTAACACCTCACTTGCTACCTTTGATTGTAGTCTTTTTGAGTCTAGTTTGTGTGCAGTCTCCAGGGACTTATATTCATGACATGGATCAATCATGTTTTCAATTCCTGTTTCTGGAGGGGTAGCACATTGTGTTTGATATATCTGCAGTTTTTTCATGCTGGTCAAAGTTACGAAAGTCACAGAACGATACTTCTGTAGAAGTTTAAGTTATCATCCAGCTCCGTAGGGCTACTGTCCCCTTCTGCTCCTTCACAAGGTTTTTGTGAAAGGGGGTTTGGTTCTTGGCCAGGATTTAATAGCTTTCCTTTTACAATGTCTCTCTCCTTTTCACCTAAATCACTTCCTTTTTTGAGTTTGTTTGGTTTAGATTTTAAAAGTTCATCTCGTTTGTTCAGTAGGAGTTCAATTTGGCCACTTTTCATTTCAATTGTTGTGGCTGAGGAACTCCCTCTGTAGAGTTGTGAGAACTGGTCCTGTTACCGTCCTCCTCTTGCATTTTTAATTATGTAATTTTCTTTTATTCCAATGCATTTCAACCAGGAGTTCACATGAGATTCTGTCCATTTTTCACAGGACAGATCACGGCCATCCTGTAAAAGAAATTGTACATTTAATAGTGTCATAAGCAGTTTAATATATTCAGCCAGTTTGCTTACCAATAAAGACTGAAAAGAAGAACTGCTTACTTCAATGGCTTAGAGTAGCTACTTGAGGAGCCGTGGACATAAGTGTTTTTTTTTACAGGCGTGACACGTCTTCAGGATTCTGATCTATTTAAGTTGTATTAAAATATTGCCCATGTGACTGCAGTGTTTTCCCAACGCAACCCCGTTACATATTATCAGAATAAGACTTAATATTTTCAAAGTTATCTTTATTTAGTTAAATATCTAAGTTTGTCCTTGCCTTGAAAGTAGCATATAATTCTGCAGCTATAATTCATTCTTGAGGTAAACGCTAACAAGCATTGATTTGCAACCCTGTCACTATCCGAAGAGTAATATGGTTGCACTACAGTTACAGGGTTGCATTTGCTGCGGTTCAATTTATTATCTTTAGTTAAATTAAATGTTTATGCATAATTTAGCATAATCTACATGTTTTAAATCTATTACTGTATTTTCCCAGAATATGAATTGCCTTTTTTGTATTGCTACCAGGTAGCCTAAGCATATTGAGGTTGCAACAACTAACAATGTTTCTTAACAATTATAAGAAAATGAACACACTGTGTTTGAATTAAAGTAAGATTAAAAGATTAATATCACTTTCTAAAAATTGATTTCAACAGTTCTAGCCCACCATTGAGCGCTTCTGAAAAGAAACTAAAAAAAATACTAGAAAAAGTTTACTACCTGTTTTTCTTAAATCCATAACAGAAAATTATAAAAGAAAGGGTTACGTTTTTCTGAAATGTTGTTGTCTGAATGTTCCTCCAATTCTGGAATGACCCAATAGCAGGGGTAAATGTTTTTAATGAACATTGATTGACAGCTCTTGGACTTATTACTCCTTGAAAAGTCACTGGTTCATATTGCACTAGACTTACTGGATGAAATACTTCACGTCTACACTCGTTACCAATATCAATGACTCCATTTTGCTTAACTCTAATAATATACAACATCTAACACTCACCAATCTCTGAAGAACTGCTTTCCATTTTTGGGCTGTTTCTAAAGACAGTGAAAAAAGGTTTAAGATTGTCATATCATAATTTGTGTATTGAATCAATGACATGGACATGCACACTATACATACCAAAGAACACTCTTACCACAAGACTAGAGCACTCATTGTTGATCATGTAACATTCTTTGGTGAGTCTGTTGGTGACAAAGAAGCATTAGTGTCCAAAAATTGTAATTAAAATGTAGTATGCATTTTGGTCCGTTTTATATGTGTAAAGTTACTTTTATTTTCCATAATTCTATATTGGGTTTTTTATGCATTTATATAATATTACTTTTTTAAGTAAGCAGTAGGAAATGTCACATCTGTTGAGTGAGCAACCAATTAAACAAGACATTTATTTTTGTCATATTATTACCGTTAAGATCAACACAGTCTCACTCCCGAGACCTGTAAAGACACCATTGCAGTAGTCGAGTCTACTGAAGATAAAAGCATGGACAAGTTTTTCCAAATCCTGCTGTGACATTAGTCTTTTAATCCTAGATATGTTCTTTAGGTGATAGTAGGCTGATTTAGTAACTGTTTTAATGTGACTGTTGAAACTCAGGTCAGAGTCCATGACTACACCTAGATTTCTGGCTCTATCTGTTGTTTTGAACATTGCAGACTGAAGCTCAGCGCTAACTTTTACGTTCTGCCTTGGCTCCAAAAACCATTACCTCAGTTTTATCTTTGTTTAATTGGAGAAAGTTCTGACACATCCAGTCATTGATTGTTCAATGCACTTACTCAGTGTTTGAATTGGAGCATAATCTCCTGGTGAAATTGTTACGTAAATTGTGTGTCATCCGCATAGCTATGGTAACTTATTTTGTTGTTTTTCATTATCTGAGCCAGTGGTAGCATGTAGATGTTAAAGAGAAGAGGCCCCAAGATGGAGCCTTGAGGTACCCCACATGTCATATTTGTCAACTCAGATGTATATTTACCTATAGAAACAAAGTTTTTCTGTCCTTTAAGTAGGACTCAAACCAATTTAGAACTGTTGCCGAAAGTCCCACCCAGTTTTCTAGTCGGTCTAGTAATATGTTGTGGTCAACAGTGTCAAACGCAGCACTGAGATCTAATAATACTAACACTGAAGTTCTGCCACTGTCTGTGTTTAAGTGGATGTCATTGAAGACCTTTACAAGAGCAGTCTCAGTGCTGTGGTTTGGACGAAATCTGACTGGAACACATCCAAACAGTTATTTAAATGCAAGAAGTTACTCAACTGTTGAAATACAACTTTTCAATGATTTACCTAGAAATGGCAGGTTTGATATTGGCCTGTAATTGTTCATTACTGAAGCATCTAGATTATTCTTTTTTAAGAGCGGTTTAATGACTGCAGTTTTCAGGGCCTCTGGAAAAATACTTGAGTGAAGAGATGTGTTTACTATATGAAGTAGATCTGAGGCCATGCAAGGAAAAACATCATTGAAAAATCCTGTTGGAATAATATCAAGGCAGCAGGAGGAGGATTTCAGAAGTTGAATAATGTCCTCTAAGTTTTACCATTAATCTGATGGAATTGTGTCATGGTGTTTGAATTGATATTAGGTGGACATAGGGACAACACATTTGCTGTACCTGATGCAGAGGCACTGACTGCTTGTCTAATTTTTCTGAATTTGTCAGTGAAGAAGGAGGCAAAATCATTGCACGCCCTGGTGGATAGAAATTCAGAGGCTACTGACACTGGGGGGTTGTTATTCTGTCGACTGTAGCAAACAAGGCACGTGCGTTGTTTTTATTTTTGGTAATGATGTCAGAGAAGAAAGACTGTCGTGCGTTTTTCAATTCCAAATTATAAAGGCCAAGTCTCTCTTTATAGATTTCAAAGTGAACCTGGAGATTTGTTTTTCGCCACCTACGTTCAGCTTTTCGACACTCTCTTTTTCTGTTCTCACGGTCATGGCCTTTCTCCATGGAGATATTTTCTTGCCAATCACTTCCTTTACCTTAGTTGGAGCAATGGTATCTATAACATTTTTAATTTTTGAATTAAAATGATCTACTAGCTCATTTACTGAGATGTTAGCAGGGGCAAGTGTGGATGAAAAATTATGAGTAAACATTTCCCTAGTATTTTCAGTTAAATATCGCTTTGTGTTACCTCTTTCTGAACATTTTGTGAACAGAAATAGAGCTCTCAAAGAAAACACAGGATGATCAGACGTGCAACATCAGTCACCACAACCTTTGAGATATTCAGACCCTTTGAGATAAGTAAGTCCAGAGTGTGGCCCCTTATTGTGCGTGGGCTCCGCCACATGCTGAGTCAGTCCATAGTTATCAAGAACACAAAACAGTTCTTTAGCCCCTCTGTCCTGGGGGTTGTCAACATGGATGTTAAAATCACCAACAATGACTAGACGGTCAAAGTCAATACACACTATCGACAGCAGTTCAGTAAATCATCAAAAAAAGCTTGCACAGTATTTGGGTGGTCTATAGATATTTAGGAACAGAGCTCGAGAGGAGCATTTCAGCTGAAGTGCCACATATTCAAAAAGAAGCAAAGTCCCCATAAGATGTCTTCCTGCATTGAATGGAATCATTGAACAAAATAGCAACTCCACCTCCTTCTTATGCATTCTTCTCCTGACCTCATAAAACTAAAGTTGGGAGGGGTTGATTCGATAAGAACAGCTGCACTGTTATTTTGTTCAATCCAAGTTTCCGTTAAAAAACATAAATCGAGATTGTGCTCAGTGATAAAATCATTGATTAAAAATGTTTTTCCTGCCAAAGACCTGACATTTAATAAGCTAGTTTAAGTTTGTTAATACACTATCAGTAAAAAAAATTGTGACAAGCTGTGGCTGACATGGAATCACTACTAAATTTGATAACCTCACACAAACGTTTGAGCACTTCTTGTTTCTAAGCTGATTTACAGCTCTTAATCTATTACCTATCAACACAGATATCGGCAAAGCTACTGGCATGAGGCTGATGGAGAGAGAGGGTGTTTTCACATGTTTAAAATGTGCATATATTGTTTCATTGCTTGTTACTTTGGATTTTAAATAACATGTTAGTGTTGCAGTTCATGAAAACCATGCAGGAAGCATTTTGACATCCCCCTGGATCCTTAATTTGTACACACTATCACATTATTATTGTGGTCTCTGGTGTCATTTTATTATGTTTTTAAACTATCATTCATGTTTTGTTGATCTGTACAGACCAGCGACGTGCAGTCAGTGGAGGCAGGGGAGGCAGAGCCTCACCTGTCATACTCCAATGTAACGGAAAAACAACTAAAGAAAAACGAAATAGTAATAATAATAAAATGTCTCCACTGATCTGTGTTGGTAAGTGTGATTTAATGTATGATTCTAATCGCTTTTTATAGTCAAAATCAGCAAATTTGCCGAGCTCCGCTATGGGAGCGATGACAAGTGAGGCAGGCACGTGCTCTGCCTCTCGTAAGCCCACAGTGGGTGTTTCTCAATCGCGAGTAAAGCTGCTTCAGAGCCACTATTTCAGCATACTACGTCATCGAGTGCCCGCCGAAGTACTGTTCCAATCTCCAGTATACTTGGAAATCTACCGAGCCCGGCGTACTCCGTTTGGAGAAATATCGAGTGTGCACATGAGTAGACTTCGCGGTCTTAAAATCCCCACAATGCTTTGCGCACGGACCAATTTCCCCACATCTGTGGCGGAAGATGTAAGGCGGGGCCTCTCATATGACGCACACCTGCACACTTGCTAGCGTGTTCCACTCTTTGTTTTCCGAATGTCAGGAAGTATTCTTGACTCGCTTCTGAGCAAGATGCTCGGCAGACATGTGCTACCAAGCAAGCGTACTCGCGATTGAGAAACACCCACAAACTTGCTGGAGCACGGCACTAATTTAGCGCGGGCACTTATTTTGTGAGCGCGCTCAAGCCAGTTACTGTGGGGTGAGGTGAGGCACAGATGAGATCTGCCTCACCTCAGAATGCGTCACCCCACAGAAACTGGCTGGAAAGCGGGCCCTAAGCACATGCCTGTTACCATCTCACTGTAGGTCACCAATGTAATATATGTAGATCCCTTTATTACATTTATCCTCGCCATCCATAGTCTCTAAATAACTTATTTCACGTATATATGATATTTAGGCTCGCTGGTCTCAACGGCAATGAAAATGCACCAGGGGAGGCAGCCATAACCTCTGCCGCACTGAAGGGGGCGCACGTGAGCCCACAGGTTCTTGTTGCTACTGTAATTCTACGCAGAGACGGTAGACGTAACAACAAACTAGACTTTTGAAACTACAGGAAGATAAGGAGGACTTTTACAAAAAAGTAATAGAGATTGTTGTCCAGAAGGATAGCATGGACTTCATCTTCAAGTCAAGGTAAGACCACATTTGTAATGAAAATGGGATCTTACTAAGAAAGAACAATCCAATATTTAGATTTTGGGTATCCTTTTGTTGAACGGTCTGTTTAAAATGAATCGAAGCATCAGACTAAAAAAGCTTTTGAAAATAACAGAATATTTCGATTAAGGTCAAAATATAATATTTGTAAATCTGACTCAGTGAGTCAGTGCCTCACCAGCCATGAACCTCACCGCACGTCACTGGTACAGACTAAATCAAATCAAATCAAATAAAAATGTAAAACTTGTGATTTTGAGCTACATAAATACAATTTGATCTATATTTTTGAAACATAAGACATGTCATGTAAAAATCAATCCATGCAGTTCAAACAAAGAAAATATTGAAAAAACCTCCAAATACTTAAAATCATCCCAACTAATTTAAAATGACTTACAACATATAAAGTTCAAAACTATATTCTTAATTATCCATTTCAGAGGTTCACCCTGTACTGTTGCCTAAATATTTTATGTTATTTTAGATTGATCCATTTTGTTTTTCCGTTCATACTTTTTAGTTTTTTTTGGGCCAGAGGGCCGTTATTGGAGATGTTAGAGTTGAAAGGGGGGAGACAGAGGGGAGGACATGCCAGAAATGTTCGGCTGGTTCAGGATTCAAACTGGTTTACTAGGCAGCGGTGACTGCATATGGGCTGCCGGCTCTAACCACTGACATATCGGGCGAACCCATTCTTATCAAGGGTTATTGACCCTTTCACTCTTTCCTATTATTATCTCCTTATATTTGGACACATTGTATTGTCTTGTATGTGAATAGCACTTTTTTAAAAATAAAAATATATATTTATTATTTATGAGAGCTTCTGAATCGGACTGTGCCGGCGTACATGCTTACAGGACAATAACTAATATATCCACCCCTTTGCTGCTGATGACTCTCCTCCTGACCTGCACTTTCACACTCATCTTGCAGACACCAGACATATCCGGTGATACATCATGAAAGTGATATATCTTCTTTTCTCACTTGATAATATCAATAACAGGATCGCTATAAGAAGACTTACTAGGATACTATAAAAAAGTGTAATATATAAAGTACTTCATGGGGAGCAATGTTTATATTGCTAAGAAATACTGAGAAAAACGTTTTGAGAAGGGTTTGTTTGTGTAACTGTACACATTAGTGGTGTTAATCCAGTGGATACAAGTTTTAAAGTCTGATGCATAACATCCTGAGTTTTATTTCAAATTCAGTTAAACATCAGTGTGTGCAAAACCAACTGCAAGCGTTTCAACGGCTGTTCTTGCTTTGATTTCCCCTTCCTGCTCAGAGGTGAAGAACAATAAATAAAGTGAGGCTGTCCACAAAACCTCACAAAGACTGAAGGAAAGAGTACAATGTGAGTCAGCTTTAGTATTTATTAGTGAGTTCATAAGTGAAAAGGCCATGAAGACGAGCTTGGCATGCATTCTTATTTTCATTCAGCTTTTTGAAGGTAAGAGAAATTCACATTTTATTTCCTCTTTCAAACACTGATACGTGTCTATCCTGACAGCAACATTTAATGTTCATACAGTGTAATCTGTTTTTATTTACGGGGATGTTTCATCAGACCAGTTGTGTGGCTTTGTTTAGAGCCATGTTAGGTATTAACAGTAAAGACTAAACATCATTGTTTCTTTAATGTTTATGTTGTATAACATTCCTTACTAAACAATCATTAAAATAATCGTTTTGCTAGTATTAAGCTATAAGTATTACGCTGAAGTTTGGTCAGGGAGGGTGAGATTGATAGACAAATATTTAATCCTTTATTGTCTGGATTGTTATGCTTCGCCTATTTGTATGGGCAAAACCATCAAAGGGCCCAGAGTAACAGTTTCACGTGCCACCAAATCTGAAACATGAATAAAAATGAAAGAGAGAGACAAATCATATTAGTTGGGGGGACAGTTTTCACAGACAGATCACAGATTATGAAAGTTATACAACTGTAGGATTTACAGTTTACCTTCAGGGATCAGACTTCCGAGGTTTGTTTGACCGGTGGGAGAGTTGCTGGAGCATGTATCGTCGCAACATCGACACACATCATCACTGCCATCGACATTTATCCATCTGATGATTAGTATACAGAAACAATCATTGTTTTCCTTTAGCTTTGAGTTGAGGACATTTACACCCAAATCCAATGTTGAAATAATAGCCATTTATTTGTATACATATACTCCATGGGCAGCGTCAACATTCTAAAATATTCTTAAAGCTTACATTTAGCACATTCCTCTCACATGTGTACTGTTTCAGTTCAAATGCTGAGGTAAGCATCGCTGTTACATTGATCTGGCTGTACAGAGACAGCATGGAACATTCATTTTAGAAAGTATTTATCCTTATATTTACATGTTTCCTTAATTAAGTAACTTGATTACTTAAGCAGCAAGAAATATTAATAGCAAACATTTGAACCAGTTTTAGCTTATAAAGAATTGTTAACCTGATGAGCCTTTGTAAATGATACACTGACAAACCTTTTGCAATATTAAAGTAAGGAGCAACAATTCACAAAATAAGTAATAAAATCACCTTGAATTTATATAATTGCAGGCCTTGTTGACGGGGCTGCTCTTCCGCATTTCAGAGGTCGCTTTCAGCTGGCAAGTGATAAAAATCTAATAAATCCAAATGCTGGCTGTCGTTGAAGAAGCAGCGACTCACTGCTGCTGCTGAAGATATATTTGCTTTGTTTGAAAAAAACGATAGCAGAGTACGAGGAGGAGCTGTCTCTTTCCAAAGAGGAGAACAAGAGACTCCAAAAACTACTGGACGCTGTTTAAGAGAGACCAAAGAAATGTCATTATACAACCTCGAAGCATTTCCAAATATGACAAAATCATTCAGGTTATAGAAGTGGCTCACTGAGTTCCTTGTGTCCTGGGGAAACAGGAAGGCATCGAGCTGCAGCTGAAGAGAAAGAAGATCTTGTTCTGGGATTGAAAAGTGCATTTGATCCTTCCTCTTTGGCATCATTGAAGCACCTGACGAAAAGAAAATTAAAATTTGAATGCAATTTAAAGAGCCAATTATCAGTATCATACTGTATTCTGAGCTTCTCTTACCCATGGTTTTCGATAAAGTAGTAATCTGGGGGGCTGATCTCGGGTCAGGAGACAGAGCGGCGACACAAGGCCGTCGATAAACAGAGGCGTCTAGGTCTGTCTCTTGCCCCCCCCTCCCTGTGAGCCTAGTGTGCTCCGATTGGTCAGGCTCGGCCACTCTGTTCTGATTAGTCAACCACCAGAGAGGCTCCAACCCATGTATAACAGCGCTTTTTCGGCTCGCTCTCAGCGGAACAACAGTCCTTATAATGGCCTCGGTAGCAGCCGTATATTTATACACTAACTAACCGAACTGTACCTACAACTGTTGTTATAGAAGAGTAAGTTTTTTTACCTGTATATAAACTACTACTGTTTGATGAGAAATCAAATCATGGTTTGCTATATATGAATGATAAGTTATAGGAGCAAATAATTCAGGGAAGAAAAGGATAGGCCTACTAAAGTATTTCCATCAAACTTTATTTTAGAAATGTACAAAATGAACATGCGTAAATATACATATATACACTGTATATCATCCATTCCTCCCCTTATAGGTGTTTTCGGCATCTTGCCTATCGCAGCTTTGTAAGCGGCTGCCGGGGCTTTTTAGGACGAGGCATCAGAGTGGGTCATCCCGTGTGTGTGTTGTCCGCCAGATACGCCTGGAGTTTCCTGATCTGGCTGGACGAAATCAAATGCAAATCACAAAATATTAGAGAAACTTAGTTGTTTTAGATTCGTTAGTAGTAGTTGTGGTAGGAGTGTGTATCTATCTATCTAATCAACACAGTTAGCTTGCCAGCTAATATGCTAACCTACGTTTGCTAGTTGTTCAGTGTAATATGCTATAGGCTACTATACTATACTATAGCTATACTATACTATGAACAACAGATAGTGGTTCATATTAGGCTATCAAGAACATGTTTACAATTGCAATCTTATACGGGTAGTCTGCTACATTCATTGTAGCTGGCATAACAACAATGTTTTCCCGAGCAAACTCATGTCTACCTCCGTGCTTTAGCTCGGTAGCATACACGCTAGGAACGCCAGCTATAATGTAATTACGTTTCGCGACTGACCGTACGGTAAATCACCCGGAGTATACTGTCTATGAGTATTTCGTGTGTGAATGCAGACATTCTCCTGCTATGAGATACATGTATGCAAGGCCATCTGCTGATATTGGAGTTGATATATGGAAACGCTAGCAACTTAGTTAGGCACTGTGTCAATGGCTTAGCAGTCCGAACACGTTTACAACACATTTAAACAGTCGTGGTAGATACCTTGTTTGATAAATACACAAATAACAATGCCAAACTTACAGGTTGTGTACCCGAATCTTCCCCTGCTCCAAACGGTCCAAACAAACTGGGAAATAGCATCGTCCTTCAGTTTCAAATGCTGTGCATATCCGGGCCTCAAACTGGGCAATGTTTTGGAAGCTTTCATTCTGTGAAATGCCGCGCACACAGTAACGTTCTTCGACCTCTGAAGGAACAGTGGTTAAACAGAATTTCAACCACGACTTTCGTCGTGGTTCTTCTTCCGTCGGTAGGACAAAACAGCTCATATTTCCCCTCACATTTCAGGAAACAGGTCCTTGGCATTGGCATGACTGGATCGATTGTGAACTGAACCAGAGCTTCCAACAGTAAATGTTAGGGCTGGGCAGAGGGCTGGCGCCCAGCGCCGCTGGGTGTGGCCATAGCTCTTCCGGATTGGTCCATTTTGTTCCGGGTACCAGGCATGACATCATGTCGTACCCGGAAGAATCAAATGGACAATGACGTAATCCCACGAGGCGTTTTGGAGAGGTATTTTCTGTGTTAGAGGTTTTACCTCGCTACAGGGGTGTACTTTGAGGGTTTTGACTCTGCACACCGTTTACATGCATAAAAACCTTCATAACACACAAGGGGAACGGGTAATAACCGGAAAAGCATGACACCTCTCCTTTAAGATATTCATTGCTATCGGATGTTAGAGAGCATTCCATGGAATATAACAAAAAGTGTATCTCGAGCCTGTTCTCAAACTTACCTACCCTACCTTTAAAGCTGGGGTAGGTACGTTTAGAAACCGGCTCGAGATACACTTTTTGTTAGTATTCCATGGAATGCTCTTAACATCCCGATAGCAATGAATATCTTAAGTGCTTTGACAAAAAAAATCCATAAAAAAAATGTAATCTGTGGAAGGCCGTGGTGCTGTAAAAAGCACGACCAATCATGTTAGCCGGCCGCCAGCTAAAATACTGGGATGGCCTACCTGCCTGTTCAGCCTTCCATCTGTGCACCAACTTATCTCGTGCCCTCATTGGTCATGTGCTCGTTCGTGTGTGTTTGGAGGAGGGGCTCTGTAAGGAAGTGGCAGATTTATTTCCGTGCCGTGTATTTTCAAATTCTAGCCGCACTCGAGCTGGTTTCTCCAAAATTACCTACCCAACCTGCAACCACAGTTACATATCCACCATCTTCTATTAATCATCAACAACTTCCAGTCACTTTGGAGCCACAGTCTTGTAGTCCAGCTTCAAATACATATTCAGAGTCACCAGCAGCAACAGGTCGACACTGACTGCTCTGTGAATGCTTGACTTCTCCCAAAAAAAATCCCATGGAGACAAAAGGCGTCCATTTTTAAAGAGGTCAGCCTTTACCGCAATGATTATGGACACTTCTGTGCATTGTACACTGATAGTGGATCCCTCATTGAATTGTGGTTCACTGATTTGATTTTCTGTGTCAAACCCTAATGCAGCAGTTTTATATTCCCTTCCTTCAGCATCGATCATTGGTCCATCTCTCAAAGTTCGAATGGCGTCTGCAAAACCAAAAGCAAAAAGTGACAGCAGTGCCACAGAGCCTAAGCAAACACAACACTACCAGTAGAACAAGTGATAATTTAGGAAATCTAAACCATACTGAATTTAAATAAGATGCAGAAGGTTCAAACTCTCAATGTCAAATACTTCCCAGTGCAGACTAATCACATGGAGAGGACAGCTGGAAGCAATTACTCATTAACTGATGAGAATTAAAGCTGCAGTCACACCGAAATACCTGCATGTGATTGGCCCACACCTGACATGTGGGTTTACATCTAGTAGTTACACTGATGCTTCCTTCCTTATGCATCAATCAATGTTGAAATATTATATACTACAGTTAATGGAGAGCAATTTAAAATGCAGCCCCATTTTATTCAACATCATTCAGTTTATTTTGTGCATGTAGGTTTTAATGTGGTATACGAGTACGATTCAGTTCCAGTCCACTGTAAAGTGAAACAAAAACTTACACATTTACAGCTTCACTGGTTTCTGGCTTTGAGTCCCAACAGGCACTTTGTTGCAGGGACCAAAAAACATCCCAGGAAGTTTCATCTTCCACATGGCCTTTTAGTCTAAAAACAAATGTGTGATGTCATGGCTACCATTACATTGAGCCAATATTTTAACCTGTTCCACCCTGAGCCTGTTTTTCAGGTCTCAGGCTTGAAAATGACATTCCCAGAACAAATGACCATATCTTCCCTTCTAAATTGGTTAAATTAATAATCTTTGTTCTCAAAGTAATGATAAACCTGTGAGTTGGATGTAGAAAAGTCAGAATCAATATACTGTAGATGTTTTTTATTTTAAAGAAAATTCCGATTGAACATATTAAAAAAACTGTAAATTATAGTGTCCGTCCAAAAATTATTTTGTACTTATAGTGAAAACTACCCTTGGATGATGGGTTAGTAGACTAAAAGCTTTAGGAATCCAGTACAACATATAATAAGTACCCTGTATCAAGATTGATGCAAAACAAGTGCAATTTGACCTTTTTAGAGAGATTTAGCAAAAGAAACCCACTTCTGGGGTCATTTGGGTGGATTTTCCATATCTCTGGCCCCCCTTGGTCGATTTTGATGAATGAAATCTCTTTATAACCGCTAGAGCCAATGGAATTGAGGGAAAGTTCTACACACACCAACACATTAACAAATAAGGAGTGAGAGTGATGATGCGTGGCCAAAACCGGAAGCTGCATACACTCTGTTGGCTACCATTAGCAGCTAACTTTTTTTCTCCGATTTTTTACATAAAAATGGAATTATGGATTATAAAACATTTTTCAAGCTACAGATACATTATTAACCTATGGATCAACCGATTCAGCCGCTTTTTTTCTCGTTTTAATGCCATTGAACACGTCCTTTGATCAGATAGACAGCTACGGTGAGACGATCTCCCGTAAAGGTACGTTTTGTGATGTCTGTGTTTGCTTCCGCTGTCGCGAGTTCGGATCGCTCAGTGATGATACTATACCTATATAATCTGTGGAGTCTCAGCTTTAATCGGATATTGTATGTGCAGTTACGATAAGTAATAAGGGTATCTTTATCTTGAGTTCTGTGCTAAGTGAGTTAGCATTTTTCTGCTTAGTATTACCCTTGTTTTGGTAAAAATGGTTCATATCTTCAGTTAGCTGAGATTCTTCCCGTTATTCTGGTGCTACACATTAATGGTTTCATTAATGTTAAGAAGCCCTGAGACACAGTCTCGAAAAAAAACGGTGGGGGGGGGGTCCACTGGGGGGGACCTTCGTCCTTAAGAGGTTAAAGTCTTGCTTCAGTTTTTTTCCCAGATGGCTTGAAATAATGGCATCTGTAACCAAGGGTGTAACTTTGGTTTGAGAAGTGGGGGGGACACAAAACAGGGGGTCCTCCGCAATGAAACATTTTCTCAATTTCCTGCCTTTCTACAAATATATTAAGGACTATAGTGTTAACAAATCCAAGAAAAATGTGTAGTGTATATAATGAGTGTGCACACTTATCTAGTATCCTATCCATGTAAACCTGTTTTATTTAAGATGACCTTACCTCCTGTTGGGGGGTCCGGGGGCATGCACCCCCGGGAAGATTTTTGTCTTTAA